AAGTATGAAATGTTAATTAATTGCACTGCTTCTGGAACAACAAGAATAAACATTCGACATGTAAGGATCCACAGGACATGCAGATCTGCTCATATCAACGTTTAGTTTTCAGTTTTTTAATTTGTGAAGTGATTGAGATTCTGCCTGACTCTGGACATTGTTTTTCTTGACACTCATTTTCATTGTTGCATTGGGGATTAGAATCACCAAATCAGTGTTGAATCCCGAGAACTGAGACTCGCTAACTTGGTACATTGATCCACTTTACACCAGGAAGTTCACCTCTGAATAATTTACAAAGAAACAAAACAAAACAACAAAAAATCAAAATGAAGGATTTGTTTTGGTCCTACCAAAGTTAAGATTTTGCTCTAATTGAGACATTGTGGTATGACCTCAAACAAAAGCAGTATTGAGTAAAATCAACTTTTTTAAACTTTGCATCATCTTATAATGTTATTCCCCTCATCAAAAACCTACCTGGATAGTTACTTATATTCTTTTGTGCATGTCTGAGGAATCCTAGAATCTCCTCTTGCAGCCACTTGGGGGCGTCCACACTCAGCTCCTATAGACTAGCAGCTGCAGCAATTAGCAAACGCCTTTTTGGCTGCTGAGTTCATCATACAAACTACAGCTGTGATGACGTGCTGAAGCTGGAGCGTTGGAAAGAGAAGAAGCTTCTTAAAGAGACAGAGTCCCAAGTCAAGGCATCAAAGTCCAAAGTCAACTTATTTTTAATGCAGCATTTCCATAACAACTGAAGGTAAAAAGTTACTTGATTGTACTATAAAATGTCCCTATGTGCCTCGAAAATACCCCCTGACCCCCCCACTTTACATAATTGATGTCTCACTTTTAGTCTAGTTTGCTAGACTAAGTTATTGAGTTATTAAATAACTCGGTAACTCATAGCTATTGAGTTTTTTAATATCCTAATCAACAGGAGCAGACAAATGACAAATAATAAGTAAAAACTGTAGTAAACAATATATTTTTTATATCTGGTAAACTTTATTCTTTTGCACAATCAGCAGCTGGGTTTCTTTCGATGGTCTGACAGTCATCACTCCATATGTGGCACAGCAGATTGTTTTCTAAAAGTTCAACTTTAAACTCTGTTACTGGGTCAGAAAGGTGTTTTAAAACTGCCTTCTTTCTTATAGAAACACCTAAAAAGCCAAATTTGTTTAATTTATAAGAATATCAATATTTATGTGTCTTCTAACTTCAAAACATTATTTAAAAAATTAACTTCTTCATTGCATGTAATTACAAAGTTGATTTAGCTTCAACCTTTGGACTGGGCTAAAAAAAGGAAGGAACTCAAAACCACCACTTATCTGACTGTATATATTCATATTTATATTTTCCAAAATTACTCTACGGTTTTTCTTAACACAATAGAATTGCTGGGTTATTATTACATGTGGAGTAAAGTGAATTTGTCTTCTCTTTGTTTTTATTCCCACTAAAGTAACATCTTTGCCTGAGCGCATAACACTGAGAAGAAAAACACAACGCAACCCACTTAAGCTAAATAAATGATTTATTGTACAAAAGAAAATGACAGTAAATAAACAACAAAAGGCAAAAATAATAATACAGTTATTCATACGCACATCCATTAAACTACAGAGATGGGGTGATTTCCTTTCTTTTTCACTACACAAAGAACAGGTATGAAGGGGAAAAGAGAGAGACACAGTTAGAAGCGGTGAACCTGTCCAAAACATGATAAAAGTTAACATTTCGGTTGTATTTACATAGATATTTGTTACTCTCATATATTTATATGAAAACAAAACTCTCAGACAAACAAGTCTCAGACAAAAAAAACAACACTAAAACAAAACTCTCAACAGCTTTGAACATAGTCAAACCCCAGAGGTGGGCACAGCTATCTTTTTTTTTTTTTTTTTTTTCCTTTGACCATGCTTGACCGTCAGTCACTGTTAGCAACTTAGCCTGAACCTGAGAGCAAGGGGACCCTGTGCGTTACGTTGAAATTTTTGGAGGGGATGTGGCTCTTATGTGTTTTATGTTGACTCTGATTTTTCTGGAAAAAAAAAAAAAACTAAAAAAAAAAAAAAAACTTGAAGACTAAAGTGAGGTAGACAGACTTGGAAATGCATTGTAAGTAATAAATAACCGATCAGTTGATTTTTTTTATTTGTTTATTTTTTTAACCACAGCCCCTAAACCAGCCTTTTCCTCCCTTTGAAGTGTTCTAGCATATTCCTGCAATCACAAAGGTTACGGCACATAACTTGTCGTCCTCTACTTTGGCTAACTTTCCCTGGATACTCCCATTTTTTTTTTTTTTTGAATGGCTGCTCTCACTTACAATACACATAAAAGCAAAAAAAAAAAAAAAAAAAAAAATACAAGACAGATGACACGTTAACAGTTCTCAATATTCCTAACACAATAACAAATTAAGGTTGATGGGTGGGCTGTTTCCAGTTAAAGCATTTCCATAGATCCAGACATATATTACACACATGACAAGTGGGAACAGAGGCCTTTAAGGCTGCCGTTACAGTACATCCAGGTTCCAGATTGAATCGAAGTGTGTGGGTGTATGGACAGGCCCCCGCTTCAGACAAAGTCAGGAAAGTGTGATGGTATCAAAAAGAAGTGAAAACTTCTCTACTTTATGGTTTATCACCAGAAACATGAATATTTAATTTTTTTTTTATCCTATACTGTACAAGCTCTCTTGTGCTTGGTAAAACGCAAACAACACTTCAGCTCCTCACGCCATGAACGTCCCATAGTGCAAAATTTATTGTTGGCAAGGTAGAGTGCCCCCCAAAAGGGTTTTTGTAACCCCCTTTTTTTTTTTTTAATATATACATATATCATTTATTTATAATGTCAGAAGGCTCTCACTTTATCCAACAGCATAGTGCTTTCGTTTTTATAACAAAAGGATATCTTTGCTTCGACATCCAGGAGACAAAGACAAGCTTCGAGCATACTAATCTACTCTGTTTAAGCACTAACATTATTTTCTCCATTGTGACGATGATGATGATGATGATGATGATGATGACGATGATGATGAGATGGATGGGGGCATTTCAAAATGCAATCCAATATGTCCTCTAAACAAAAGCTGGTTGTAAAGCCAGTATCTTGATTTTAATTTTTAATGTTGCAGACCAGGTTTTTTTTTTTTTTTTTTTTTTTTTTAAATAATAATAATTTTTTATAACAGCAGTACTGCTCACTCAAGCATTGAAGAAAAAAAAATGCTAACAACTCAGGAGTAAAGTAGCTAAAGCTCCTCTGTCATTTAAGTGTTTATTTTTCCTACATCGATGCAAACATGTAGAAATAGGTGAACTTCCAGAAATAAAAATATGTTTCTCCGTTTTTTGTTTGTTTTTGTTTTTTTACAGTTTTTTCATGAACACGGTGGATGTGAATGTCGCATTGAGTTTCACAAATAACGGCACATTTTCACTTTGCAGGGTGGATCGATGATATGAAAGACAACTTTAGTAAGTTTGACAACAATTGGGTGCACAAGTTTAAATTTATTGTGAATTTTCTCAGAATTTACTGGCCCTGATATAAGACCTGTATTAATTAATATTTGATTAAATCTCACTTAGCAAATTGTAGAGAAAGTACATTGCTTCCTCTCGCCATAGAGCTCCTGGCAAAACATTTGACCCTCTTCCAAGCAGAATTGGTGGCGCTCATTTAAACTAGTTGTTTTAACCCATAGTTTAAGCGTAATTCCTACATTTTCAATCAAACTGGGGTTGGTGCCATCCCAGCCTTCTTTATCTATTCCATGAAAACCAGTTTTTATGTATGTTTTGGATCTTTGATCTGTTGCAACACTCGTTTACAGAGCCTCCATGAACAGAACCTCTGAAAGGATGCTGACCAGGAAAGAAGCTCCTGCCCCAGATTTGTTTATTTTTGAAGCTGAATTTGCTGTCGCCCACATCTGATTTTTGTGAAAGATGAGAAAGTGACTCAAATGGAAGGTGATCCTTTCAAAAGTTGAGGAAACTGTACCACCTGTAAAAGCACGGTGGTGGCAGCGTGATGCCATGGAGTTGTTGCTAGTTCTAGGATAGAGCAGGCTAACTTTAGGTTTTTCAAATGGCTAGAACCGCAATAATGGAATGTAATAAAATAAAATAAAAATAAAATAATAGCTCCACTGATTGTGGTGAGAAGAGTGGTCCAATATTCTGACAGAACTGCAGCAGAAGCCTGTTGATGGGGAGAAAAGTATGCGGTTTTCTGCATCTCGATAAGGAATATTCAGCTAAATATTAGTGTGGAAGCACACGTTTCACCTATTCATGTACAGAAAACACATGTATAGGTAAAACTCATTACAATTTTGGCACATATTTGTGTATCAATGACAGGAATAACAAACTGCCACGTTTTTATAAGCTCCAAATTAACATGACGTCCACACTCATGATTAGTTTCTAATGTAAGCAGAACTGTGTAATAGCGTTAATTTCAGTGTATGATCAATTATCTAGCCTTAACCATCTTTACATAAGGAAACAGTGCACTTATTGCATGCCTCGGTTTTAAAAATCAAAAGTTGACATTCTCCTTTAATGTTGAAAAATCATGTTGCAATTTTGCCTTACTGCACTTTCTGCTCTTCCAAATCTACACCTACGTTTGCATCTACATGATGTTTTCTTTTTAGACTTTCAATGAGTTCAAATATCTATTTTTATTGAGAATTTATTTACTTTGGGGGACAGAATTTAATCAGTTGAACCTTTTAGCTTTTGTTTATTTCAAGATTAAGTTTCAAAGCTACTTGTAGAAATCTTACTCTGAGGTTTATGAGCAGTTAATAATTGGTTTGGTTTTGGGTCTCAGCAACTTTTCAGATCTCTAAACATCTGAAAACACATTTTGGATTTGTCCAAACTATTATTATTATTATTATTATTATTATTATTATTATTATTATTATTATTATTATTATTATTATTATTATTATTAATGTGGCTACTGAGTTGTTGTAAAAATTTATGAATTGCAAAATGATTATGTTCCTGCCCCCTTTTCTCTGAAAACATTTAAATGGATAAAAATATTTTCTGAATGTAAATGTGTAGCTGAAAATTAAATATATTGGAACGGCCCCTAAAAGTTGCTTAATGAAATATACTCATGTCACCTGTCAACACATTCCACTAACCTGGACACTTCACAAAGATGCCATAAAAAAAGTCACAAAACTAACATGTACTCTATGACATAATTTTGTCTCACCGTTCTCTGAGGCTGCCCCACAAGCAGACCCAAATCATTCATAATATACTGTATTTCCATCTGCAGTTCTTTTTTTTGATTCTTGTTTTCATTTATAATTTTTTTTATACAGTTAGAATCAAATTAATTACTGGATAACATGGAAACCCAGCAGGTTGTTTCTGTGGCAGAGCAAAAGTGAAATCTGGTGCCGAGCGGAGAGATCCATAGGGGTTTTGGGTGGTTTAATGAGGGCTGAACTTAAGTGTGTGTATCTCCTTCTGCAGCCTAAGAGCACCCACATCGATCCACCACCATCCCCGGGATCTTGCCGTGAATGATTTGCTGCTTGTCATTGAAGTAAAGCATGTTAATCGGGGACATCTTGGTCGGGGTGCAGCAGGGCCCCGCGGAGCCGCGCGGGTTGGCGTGCTGCACCAGGTGGGTGTGCGGATACTTCTGCATGAACATGTACTCACACTGGCCGGAGCAGTAGTTGGCTTTGTAACGCTTGGGGGCAATGATCCAATCCCAGCCGAACGCCTCGAAGTCCACGGTCAGAGGGTAGCGGCAGCAGCGAGACTCGGTGGAGTGCTCGTCACAGTCCAACCCGAGGTTCCTCCGAGAACGCTTGGTGGTCTCAAGGACCTTCACCTCCAGGAACGGCTGCTGGAATCAGGGGGAGGGAGGCAGGGAGGGCAAAACAGACAGAATAATGGTTATAAGAGAACAACCACACAGTAAAACGCTAAAGAATGTGACACTTTTATACAGTTTGTGATCATCGTCCACTTTAGGGCTGAAGGATGTGGCTGAAACATCAGTCATATCAATAATTATTGGTTAGCTTTTGGCGCTAGAGCCACCTGATTAAACGTCCTGGAGCTCAGCTCGGGTTGTTAGGTGACGGGCAGAGCCCTCTGATTTGCGACGTTTTTGGAACCGGTCATTTTCCAGACACCAAAAAATATAAACTTATTGCCAACAAAAGTTAAATTGTTAAATGACATTTTTAACATTTAACAGTGGTAAAAATGTTAAATTGTTAAATGTTATTATTAACTGCAGTAACATTTATGGTTTTATCCACAGTTTTCTCTCCACACTGTTTCTCAACGAGATACTTAAAACCACCAACAGTTACTGACTGTAATATCCAAAGCATTATATCACCAGAGAAAATACATGGAATTACAATACAATAACTCAATAGACGTATATTTCAAGTAATTTTCATGAAATGTAGAAAAGACAGAAATATATTGTAAAAATATAAGTCCATAGAAAAATATTGTAATATTGCCAGCAGTTAATTACCCTAAAATCAACAATACTAATGGGCCAAAATGACTAATTTTGCTGATATTTATATGTACAATGTAAAACCATAAGCCAGACTGTAAAAGTAATTTTGACAAAGAACCGATTCTGGATTCTTCTTTAATAATTTCTTTTATACACCAAACTGAAATCTCAAAATTAGATCAGGGATCAAACTGGTGATCCTCCTACAGCCACCAATATTCATGAGAGACTTTAATTAAATGATGTATTTGGGATTATTAAATTTTATGCCAACCACACATTAAGAGAACTGCATGTTAGCACCTGCTGCTTGGATGAAGCTGGTAGTTTTGGAAGTATATCAACAGATCATACAGGATCTCATAACAAACAGAACAGCATGTTTTAGACTTTCCTCCGTTAAGTTCAGAACACGATTCAACAATTAGAAAGAGTCGGGGCAAGAATGGCTGCAATGTAAAGGTCAAAACAGTCCAATCCGGACACAAGGTTCATCTCACATTTACCACTAATTAATCTAAAATATTTTGGAAAAACCTTTAGAGTCTCAGTGAAACACTTAAAATCTTGCAGGACAGGAATTTAAAGCAGCACCATCACACCCAGCTCTAAAACGCTTAAAAAAAAAAAAAGGAAAGAAAAATATGTATCAGTTTGGCTTAGTCAAAGTCCAGTCATACATCTAATTGAGAAGCTGTGGCACGCTGGAAATCAAACAAAAGAAAAGAGCCAAAACTCTTTCATTTCAAACATTTGATATCAGTTGATGCTGGCGAGGAGGGAAAGACAGAAATGTTTACTTTCCTAACGTGTGTGAGAACCCAGCACAACCCTCGATTGGACCCGGCAGTGAAACTTCACACCCATAAGTGGCAAAAGCTGCAATAAAGTTCAGTCGCAGGTCAACACTGAATCACAAACAAAAATCGGTCCAATTCCACCTTCCTCATCAACATGCGCTGCAGAAAAACTCCCACCAGTAAAACGATTTCCTACAGAAAATAACTGGATTATCAATCTAAAAACAGCAGATTTACTTTTATACATGGGGATTCCTTCCCACTAAACCTTTTAAAAATGATTTAAAGAAGGTGATAACAAAACTGAAAAATGTGCGTTTATCATTGATAAAATTTCTGAAAAGTGATTCTGATTATGTTAATGAGCTCATGTGTGGATTATTTAGTGCATTATAATCCAATGTAATGTTATTTTAAGGTTGTAATAAGTGATGACTCCATCATTTTGATTGATTTAGATTATATCTTTCACTTTGCTTCTTATTCTCTTGCTTATATTTATTTATTTTTTAAACTTTAAATGTATTTTCTATTCATTGGCAAAATTAATAAAATGTATGATTTAATCTATTCATAATTATTTTTTTTGATAATCTGCTTGAGGGCTGATATAATAGAATAGAATAGAATAGAATAGAATAAAATAAAATAGAATAGATTATACTTTATTGATCCCCAAGGGGAAATTGCTTATTTGTTGAAAGCTACTCCATCTTAGGTGATAAATATAAAGTTTGTGAAAATATATACCTAAGAGTGAAAAATAAAGAGCGAATAGTTCAAAAATAACTAGACATAAAAAAATAAATAAACAAATAACAAGCAACTACATGCAATATATTAATCAATAAAAAACCGAGAAATGAGCACAGAAAAAAATTGGATCAATTAGCAGGCAGAAATGACTTTCTGTGGTACACTTTGGCAAAATGAGTCTCTGACTCGACGGGCACTGACAGAAACTGGCTTTTACCCACACTAATGGCTCACTGTGTATGCTTGAGCTGACCTCTGACCCATAAGGTCATCTGCAGGCTACCATAACCTTGACCTCTGGGAGCAGCGAGCAGATCAAATATTTTACTTCAGCATGTTTGTTTTACAAAGCCTCCTTCTGCCCTCAGTGATTCCAGCTGGGCTGCAGCAGAGCTTTCTGTGATGCATTCAGGGGAGGAAATAAGCTGCTGGGGTGAAACCGCGTCGGCTTGGCTTTTACTGTGGAAAATCACTCAGAAGATCAAGGCGTGTTTGTCTCTTCATTCTTTTCTGGGTTGTTGTGTTTGGTGATATTATCGTACACACCCTCCTGTGTTTTGGATTTAATTATTGTCTTTGGTTAAGAACAATAAAGCACTCTGCTGTGCGCTCAAAGGGCAGCAGTTTATTGGCCAAGACACCAGAGCTGACCTCTAATGTTTTCTGGAGATCTGACCCAAATAACCACTTGGTAAATATTTGGCGTTGCTTAACTAGGGTAAGTGGCCTACATAATTCAACAAAGATGTTGTATTTAACTGTCAGGTTCAGTAACTCGAACTAGATTAATGGCTCACCGATGGCTTTTGCTTAGAGGCCGAAGTTTGAACTCATTTGCGCAGGCCCATTTATCATGCCAGAACCAGAGTTTCACCATTTATAAATCAGTCTACAAAACTAAGATTGTTTTACATTATCCTTTTTCTTCATTATCTGTTTGAGAGGTAAAGCAAAAAGAAGTCTAAATGATAAAAAAGAAAAAGGGATTTAAATAGTTTTTATCCTAAACAAAGAACCTGTGATTTGTCTGGTTTACTAAGAATTTAAGAGAGACTGAAGAAATTAGAGTAATGATCTTTAAACATTTATAAAATAACTTTTATAAAATTTCTTTTTTCCAAGTCCAAGTCAAGTGTCAAATCTTTTAGCCTAATGTTTCTAACAACCAAAATAAGTGTTTTGTCATTTGATTCATGCCACTTTAACCACTTAAATTTATGTCAACACAGAAATATTCATACATTTAGGCTCTTATGAACTACTGTACTTTATTCTGAACAGCAATGTTCACTAAATTAAATTGTAGAAAAGGGTTTACCATCAATGTTTACGACTGGATTGTAGGTTATGTGACTAATGTATGACACACATGAGCCACTGCTACGTGAGACGACTGGTAAATTTACACGCTACAAACAATCATGCTAAGAATCTAAACAAATGGAAGCGATGTTTTCATATTAAATGTTGACAACCAGATATGAACGTCCGATGGTGTCACGACTCGCAGGTCAGTGAAACATTTTAATCTAAATAAAACAGCCGAGAAGCGGGAAGCAGGTCAGTATGCTCGCGTCTCTTTGACAACTTTAACGTGGACGTGTGCAACTTCAGCGTTTCTGCTTCAATAAAACACGGCGGCCCACAAACCTGCTCTGACAGATCATGAGTGTTTAAGTTAGCCAATCATGGGGCCACATCAAACAAACACCGAGCCTGAAGACGTGAAACTGAAACGTAATCTCTGCTCTGTTGGCTTGTGGAGCGGTTGTCAGCCGGTTGCCGTGGAAACGGAGTAAGGTGGTTTTCAGTCGTTCTTCATTTTCTTGTTACTTTTCACCTTCTTGTGGCACAATGAAGCCGCCGAAATTTCTGAAAGTGCAACGATGAAAGACAAAAACTGAACTGATTGCGCCGCAGGTTCGTAGATGAACGTCACGGTGTTTCATCAAAACGAACAAAACATTTCATGACGTTTTGAACAAACCCTACAACAGCAACCATGTAAGTTAAGCTAATTGTCCAGTTAAAAAGTTGAATTCATTTTTTGACAGAACTGACAGAAATTTATCTTCTAGGTACAAAATATTGTACCTAGACTTAAGCCTAGGTACAATAAGTATTTTATTTATATATTTATTTATTTATGTTCTAAGCACTTTTTATAGAAATTAGAGAAAAAATAAGGAGATGGCGATCATTTTACACACAAGCTCATCAAATGTCAATAAATAAACAATTTCCCCTTGGGATCATAAAAGTCTATTCTATTCTATTCTGTTCTGTTCTGTTATATTCTATTCTATTCTATTCTATTCTATTCTATTCTATTCTATTCTATTCTATTCTATTCTGTTCTATTCTGTTCTATTCTATTCTATTCTATTCTATTCTATTCTATTCTGTTCTATTCTATTCTATTCTATTCTATTCTATTCTATTCTATTCTATTCTGTTCTATTCTATTCTATTCTATTCTATTCTGTTCTATTCTGTTCTATTCTATTCTATTCTATTCTATTCTATTCTATTCTATTCTATTCTGTTCTATTCTGTTCTATTCTATTCTATTCTATTCTATTCTATTCTGTTCTATTCTATTCTATTCTATTCTATTCTATTCTATTCTATTCTGTTCTATTCTGTTCTATTCTATTCTATTCTATTCTATTCTATTCTATTCTATTCTATTCTATTCTATTCTATTCTATTCTATTCTATTCTATTCTATTCTATTCTATTCTATTCTATTCTATCGAGACAGGGCTTGCTCTGTTTCTGTTCCAATAAAACACGGTGACCCACAAACAGAGCAGAGATTACGTTTCAGTTTTACGTCTTCAGCCTTTATATTAATAGAGTTTAGAGTGGCCATTAAGTCAGACCTTTAAATGAATAAATCAGTGTTTCAGTGTTTTGTACTGCTGTAGTTAATACCTGTTTTCCTTTTATATGAGAATATTTAGACTGTGGCTTCATTTCACCCAGGCTGCAACTCTCTTGTCTTCAAAGCAAGACGGAAAGTCAAGTCTTGAGTCTTTGAAAAGCAAACTCGAGTCAAATCAAGTGTCTTAAAAACGAGTGAGTGCATGACTTCATGTTGTAGAGTTCCAGCTCAAGTCCAGCCCTGAGCTTTTAAAGCATGAATTAAAGACTCAGAGAATTTGGACTTAATAAAGTCTGGCGTGTTTTGAGTGTGGGTACAAATCATCCCCTGAGTCAGTATAATGCAGCTGCAGATTAATAGTCTTTAAAATCCAAGTGAAGGCTCAATTCTTCCTAATTTGAGTTTAGTCAATGAAATCCTCAGCTCTTGGCAGGAGATAATGCAAAGTGTTACCCAATTAGAAATATAAATATGATTTATAGACAAATAGTTCAAATGCTGAATTTTAGCTTTTGTAAACATTTAGTCAATCCACATCTTTAAGCTATGCACTCATTAACTGTACATTACGAGATGGAGAATTGAGCTTAATTAAACATTAAACGCTCATGTACTACATGACTTCATGTTGTACTGGTGTGAGAGAACTGAATGGTCTCTATTATGATGCTACAAATATGAATGTGGATATAAAACATGTCTGTACATCTTAAATCACACAGGATAATTCACAAGAGAATATTTGCATTTTTGTCAGCGATGCAGTCTCTTGTTTTGTTGCTTTATGGATGGACGTTTTCAGAGTGTGAATGAGTCCAACTCAAGTCTCCGTTGTTTAAAGTTAAAGTCCAAGCACACATCCAGAGCAAGTCTTGTAGATAAAAGTTTACATTTATTTTATGAATTAGACCTCACAGGGATTCAACATCTAAGTTATTTTTGAGCTTGTTTGACATTTTATCATCATAATATCAGAATTATGTCAGACTGTCCATCTGTCCTGTTTATCTCAAGATCAGGCCAGTAATTGTAAAACAATCAAATCGTTTAAGTTGTAAATTTGGATTTTCATCATTAATTGCAGTCTAGCCTCATGTGAAAACATCTGAGCTCATTAAGAATAATGGCAGTAATTTACAAGATGAATGCAAACGAGCCATTAATTAAAGCTTTATCTTAACTTCTGAGCAGGATGGAGGTATAAAAGTGAGCGGTGGCGGCAGTGAAGCCCCTCCCTCCCCGGCCCCGTCAGGCCCTGGGGACAGGTCTGAGGATCCTTACCAGCCCCTCCTCCCCGGGTCGCAGCGAGGTAACTGCCAGGTCATTGCCGCTCTCGTCAAAGGCGTTGATGTCGATTCCCCAGTTGGTGTGGGGCTGCTTGAACCAGTTCTGCAGCACATGCTTGAAGTCAATGCTCTGCCAGTGGCCGGCCCTGGAGTTGAGCTCTATCTTCAGGGAGCGGATGCGGATGTGGCGGCTGCCCTGCTCCGTGACGGGCTTCAGTCTCAGGATCTGCAAGTAGACGGTGGAGGTCTGCTGCAGCGGCCGGAGATACACCCACAGCTGAGCCTTCAGCACCTTGGTGAACATCAGCTTAGGGCTGAACTTGAAGAAGCAGCAGCTGGGCTTCCCGTTCACCTGCACCAGGGGCTCCGCTGCCAAACGAGAGAGAGACCTGTTTTAATTGGCAGACTATGATGAAACACTCAAAGTATAAATTATTGTCAAATGAGGCTTGTGCAAAATCTTATGAAAGCTGATCTGGACGTGTTGTTTGAATGATAGGAAGCATCATCCGTGTAATCTGGCAAAGAAATAGAAAGTCAATCCAAACATGAGGAGAGCATTTATCAGGAAGTCAGCCAAGAGATGGATGGTGACTCTGGAGGAGCTGCAGAGATTCACAGTTCAGCTGGACCACTACTAGCTCTGCATTTCACTAATTTTATCTTTATGGAAAACCAAAAACAGTCATCGTCACCATGTTGGGGACAAAGCAAACATGTGAGGTCAAGTTTAAACTTCTAAGCCTCCATGGATAAAGGCATGTCTGTCGGAAACACTGCTTTTAATTTAACCCCAGTCTCTCAGTGAGACCTCCTCCATGCTTTGAATTTCCTTTTCTTCTGCAAGGACAGGGAAGCTTTTCAAAATTTATGTGAAAATGGATGGAATAAAATGCAGAGAAAATGTTGTTAGAAGCAGCAGAAAACATGGGACTTTAAGGTTTACCTTCCAGTAGGACAGCAGCCAGAGCTGCAAAGTTTTGATCAAACTATGGTCCAGTCAAAGTGCAGACCTATATTACATTCAGAATCTGTAGCAAGACTTAAAACCCGATGTTTTCATATTGTCTCCATTCAGTCTCATTCAGCTTAAACTGTCTTGAAAAGGAGAATGGGTGATAATATTCATCCCTGGATGTGCAAATCAGATTCAGGGATCAGAAAATAAACACTTGACTCACTTTTTTTCTATTTTTTCTTCACAATAGTTCATTGTTTGGCCAAACAGTGCAAACCAGTACATCATTATGAAACCCAACCAGTCCATCACAGGATAACAACCAGGGGGTAAAATACATTCACAAACACACAAAACAAATTAAACTTACAACTAATTCACAACTAACCTGCTTTCATGTTCCTGAACTGTGAAAGAAAACCAGCGAACATAAAGATATACCAGATAAAAACATGGAATCCTCATCTACAAAGCTCTGCAGGAACCGCAAACAACGTTGCACTAGTGTATCTGTTTTTCACTTATAGAAGATAAACACAATGCAACCATGAGATCCTCCTCAATAACTGGAACCAAAGAAAAGACGTGCAAAAAACAACAATGTTGAAATAAACAATCTTTTGCTGAACTGGTATCATTTCACAATGAAATAGTCAAGAAATGCAACACAATATTCATCCAGAAGGGTAAAAATCGCATGTTAAGAAATGATTATTTTTTAACCAACTAATTACAAGTATTTATTATTTTATGTTTGACTTTTTAAGTTGATTAGAACATGTTTGATCTCTATCAGTGTTTCATAACCTTCCTCGAGTAAAAATGTAATGTATTACACTACAGGACACATTTTGCTCAGTCACTCTTAGAAATACGAACAAGAAGATATTAAATTGAAGCAGATTAAAATGCTGAGTTGTAACAGTAAGAATTATTATTTTTTTTTTTTTTACCCAAGCTACAACGATAGAAATAATTAAAGAGTTTAAACAATTGAAGCAGCTATTTAATTCCTGTGCTTCCTGTTGATATTCACAGTGAACAGAAAATATTACATGTGAGCTGAAAAGGTTTGGTGGACAATTTCCTCATCCTATTTTCTGTTTTACGCTTTAACAAATGCAACAAGTGTGAGATTTTAAACACTACGAACAAGGGAAAAATAGAAAGTATGAGTTTTTGCAGGTTGATATTGTAAAACAGTGATGTATATTATTGAGAACATATTTATATGAAGTGCTGCATAGTATTTCGTCTATCTGCTCACAGGTTCTATATCACAAGTACACACTGCCTTGTTCTTTGGTCCGTTCAGTCAGGGAACATTTGTGATTACTTTAAGGTTGGAAAACAACCATTTGCATATTAAAACAAGAATCAGTAATGGTGGCCAGTGGCCAGATGGTAACCTTCGATTCCCCTGGGTCAGCACTAATGAAATGGACTACCCTGAAATTACATCAAGCAGAAATAAAACATCTTAAGTTTTTTTTTTTTATCCATTTTTTTTCCCTTCAGTGCCTGCCTTTTGTTGGGAATTAATTAAGGGTGTGAATTAAGAGTTATGCTGGCGGACACTCGAAGTTCAGATTTATTCCTGTCATGATCCACGGCTGTGATTTGTGTCACATGTCAGATCTGCATATGGTTCATTTACATAGACCTCAATCTGATCTAATGTTATCCATCCGTTGAATTCAGACATTCATTTCCATGTAAAGTGTTCGTTTATTTAGGGAAATGTATTCTGTATCTATCTGGCATAATAATGTGGCAGCACAGTACAATGGGCTACTTCTTCTTCTCAGAGAACATTTGTTTTGGATCAAAACACAAAAAAAAAAAAAAAAAAAAAAACAAGAAGAAGAAAACAAAAGCAAAGCCGAGCCATTTATTTTGTAAAGTAGTTGCTTTTGATAATCCCATTAAAAAGCAAAGTGAAATCTGCGTGGATCTGTCAATCACGGTTTAATCCGAGGTTGCTCAGGCAACCTGCAAATGCTTCCTGGGTCAAAAGGTTATTTGGCACCTCAGTCTAGTTAAGAAATGGGATCAGGGGTCAAAACGGTCAGCCTCTTTACATCTCGGGGCTGCCGTGGGGGGGCAGTTCTAACAGCCAGATTGAGTTTGAAGGTCAAGGTCAACCCTATGGCGATGGTAATATGTCTTTCTTCACATTATGCCTGTTCGCTCAAAACCTTTCAAAAACTACAACATAAAAACAACAAAAAAACACCACAGTGTTATTTCATCCACGTTTTGCTGTTTTGTTTTGATAAGGGTGGAGATTCGCCAGCCAATAGTGAATTGTTTATCAGGACAGAACTCGGCATCCGGCTGTTTTTGGTTGTTGTTGTTGTTTTTTTTAGCTAAACAAGTGCTTGAAATATGGGCATGCAGTCAGGGATATGAATTCACCACTCTGCACTGAATAAGGGCCAAACCCGGGACAGACGTGGCCCTTCAGCCCCTACCTCCAAGCACAGTCATTAGTGAGTGTAAATTATACAGTGTCTCACGCTGGACAAACAATATGTCAATGTTCTCAAATGTTAGCGGGTTGCTGGGGTCGCGGCAATTAACGTGGCCGGTGTTGTGTTTGTTCATCAGGACAAAAACTGGGAATTAATGATTCTGCAGTTTGCTTTTGGTTTTATACTTTTGGGGACTGGGTCGCCTGCAGCTTTTGTCGCTTTCCCTGGGCTCATAGAGAAAAGAAAAAGGCAAACGCCAGAGAGACGGAGCGGTTCAGCTCCTCGTGAAGGAGTAACCCGAGAAAGCAGGGCCTGTTTTGTAGTAATCCAATTCAGGTCCCCGGTTATTAAACACACCTGCTCCACATATGAGCTATGTCATGTTAAACAATGCCTGCATTGATATGGAAAATCAATTTGTGCCTTTATAGATCCTGTAAACGTACAGGCTGGAGGCACAGATGAATGCCTGCAGCTTAATTACACCCCACATCTTGGCGGCGCATGCCACTCGTGGCAAAAGAGCAACGTTAGCTTGTAAAGAGAACCGAGGGAACATTTGATCCTCACGTCTGAACATGCTCTCCTTTTGCCGCAAGAACATACATCCATGGGAAAGCCAACTTTTTATGGCTTAATTTCCTGCTAAATTTGTAAAGTTCCAACTCGGTTATTTAATACTTTTATTTGGGCCATTAAGCAACATGTTCAGCACTGCCTGCTGCATCAACGTAATCTCTCTTCTGACAAGGGATATAAAATGTTAGTATCATAATTTCTGTGGGCAACAGCAACATGGTTTTGTACATATCATCAAAGTTTCGTCCAAAAGTGTCAGAAATGCCAAGACTTGTGTAAAAGGCTGAGATAATTGAGATTGAAGCCAGCACCATAACTATTAACATCATTATTATCATCATTAATTGTATTAATACCAACAAAACCACAATTTAATTAAATTTAATTAAATCATAAAATAAGACTTTTTGTGACAGAAGCAAAGCGACGAGGAGTAGCTTTTTTCTTCTTTTTAACTGATGGCAAGCACTTGCTGTACTTATTTATTTCAAATTAGCACTGAAATAAAATGAAAAGAAAAAACAATAGGGCTGAGAATGATAGTGGTCACTAAAATAAGTCAATTGTACATTTAGCACAGCCTGAAAAGGAGCGAAGGCTGACGGACACACTTACAAATGCATTTAAGCAAAGCTGTTGCTTTCTCAAGGTAGTAGCTGACTATGTTATGTGGAGACACCAAAAAGATAAAGTTTTTGGTGTCTCGTTATCACAACTTTTATATCTCGTTTTGAGAAACTCTCTTGTTTTAATAAGGTATAAAAACACCCTTGTGTTTGATTACTACTGTGATTACTACTGACTTCTCTAAACAACACTCAAACATCCTGCAGATACTGTTATGCTTGTTCAAACAAAAACAAGCAAGATATAAAACTCGTTTTAACTCGTTTTATTTTTATGCTTTTCTAGTACTTATGTTAACAGCAGCTTAACATGTTACTGGCTAAAACCCAAACATTAACATGCAAGCTATGAAAAGTGAACCTTTTCTATACCAAAGCTGTATCAGCTCCAGCACAGATATTATATGCTAACGTTTATCACTGCATATTAGCCAGCAGTGATAGCTAATGACAAGCTGGCAACATTTAAGCCAACAGTTTGCTTCTGTCCCACTTTTAATGCTTACTCTAAATGAGGCTAATGATATAAATGTAATAGTTTGATCTTTATCTAACAGTTTTCATAAACTGCAGTTTGAGCATATGACGCTGCCATGATTTAAACTCATTACTCTAAATACTAAATACAGCTATCAATGTGAACTGTTGAATTTCAACAAAGAAGGTTCTGCAAGCCATTTTGATCAACCTTAAAACATATTTTTTCCATTTCCCCTGCTTTGGTTTGCATTA